GTGCCCGGCACGCTTTAGCAAAATGGTGTAGCTGAGCGGATGAACCGAACGTTGACAGAGAGAGACAGAAGCATTCGAGTACAGTCAGGCCTACCGAAGCAGTTCTGGGCAGAAGCGGTCAACACAGCAGTTTACTTGATCAACCGAGGTCCATCGGTTCTATTGGAGCACAGAATACCAGAGGAGGTATGGTGCAGAAAGGAGGTAAAACTCTCACATCTCAAAGTTTTTGGTTGTGTGGCTTACGTGTATATTAGTGATCAAGGCAGGAATAAGCTTGATCCCAAGTCAAAGAAATGCACTTTCATCGGCTATGGTGAAGATGAGTTCGACTACCGCATTTGGGACAACGAAAATAAGAAGGTGATCAGGAGCAGAGATGTGATATTCAACGAGAAGGTGATGTACAAGGACATGCACAAGACAGATGACTCAGAGAGCGAGTCAATATTTGTAGATGCAGATGATGTCCCGAGTAACCTCCCGGAAGAACCCAATGCATAAGGTCCTCAGCCAGAAGAACCTGTTGGACAAGATGGTGCGTAAAAGTCCAACGCACCAGCTCCGATTTTGAGGAGATCTTCTTGTCCTCCTGTACCCAACAGGAGATATATGAACTATCTGTTGCTGACAGATGATGGGGAGCCTGAAAGCTTTGATGAAGCTTGTCAGTGTGGAGATGCGAGCAAGTGGGAGCTTGCCATGAAAGATGAGATGAAGTCTCTCATCTCAAACCAGACGTGGGAACTAGCTGAGTTGCCCACGGGTAAGAAGGCACTCCACAACAAATGGGTGTACCGGGTGAAAGAGGAGCAGGATGGTTCCAGAAGATATAAGGTTCGGCTAGTTGTCAAAGGATTCCAGCAGAAGGAAGGAATTGACTACACCGATATTTTCTCTCCCGTGGTGAAGCTAAATACTATCAGGACTGTGATGAGTATTGTAGCAATTGTGGATCTTCATCTTGAGCAGTTAGACGTAAAGACGGCGTTTCTTCATGGAGATCTAAAAGAGGAGATATACATGCACCAGCCAGAAGGTTTCTCAGAAGAAAAGAAGAAGAACCTGGTGTGCAGACTCAAGAAGAGCTTGTATGGCCTGAAACAAGCCCAAAGGCAGTGGTACAAGAAGTTTGACGACTTCATGCACAAGGAAGGTTTCCAGAAGTACAACGCCGACCACTGTTGCTACTTCAAAAGATATCAGTCCAGTTATATCATCCTATTGCTGTATGTTGATGATATGTTGGTTGCAGGAGCAGATATGGAGGATATCATGAGTTTGAAGCAGCAGCTGTCAAAGGAGTTTGACATGAAGGACTTTGGTCCAACGAAGAAGATCCTTAGAATGCAAATCACGAGAGATAAGAAGAGAGGTCTCTTGCAGTTATCTTAGATGGAGTACATCAACCGTGTTTTGCAGAGATTCAACATGGGTGACGCCAAGCCAGTGAACACACCCTTGGCAAGCCATTTTTGCCTATCGAAGGATCAGTTTCCTCAGACGGACGAAGAAAAAGAGAGTATGGCTAAGGTCCCTTACGCCTCATCCATCGGAAGCTTGATGTACGCAATGGTCTGTACAAGACCAGACATTGGCTATGCAGTAGGAGTGGTCAGCCGGTTTATGTCGAATCCAGAAAAAGCTCATTGGGAAGCGGTCAAGTGGATTCTAAGATATCTACGAGGCACCACACAGAAGTGTTTGCACTTTGGTAAGGGAGAAGTGGAAGTGTAAGGGTACGTAGATGCAGACTTCGGTGGTGAAGTCGATCACCGAAGAACCACCACCGGCTATGTATTCACCGTTGGAACTACAGCTGTTAGTTGGATGTCACAGATACAGCAGATTATCACTCTGTCCACTACAGAAGCTGAGTATGTTGAAGTGACTGAAGCCAGTAAAGAGATGATATGGCTTTAGGGTTTGTTAACAGAGCTGGGATTCAAACAGGAGAAGAATGTTTTGCACAGTGATAGCCAGAGTGCGATACACTTGGCGAAGAATTCCGCATTTCATTCTTGCACAGTGATAGCCAGAGTGCGATACACTTGGCGAAGAATTCCGCATTTCATTCTAGAACGAAGCATATCGGGCTTCGGTATCACTTCATCAGATCCCTGTTGGAAGATAACGTGTTGAAACTGAAAAAGATTCCAGAAAGTAAGAATCCAGCAGATATGTTAACAAAGACGGTGACCGTTCAGAAACTGGAGTTGTGCGCAACTTCAGTTGGCCTTCATGCATAGATGATGAGGGCGGAGCCACACAGGAGGAGGAGCTTGATGAGATAGCCTGTTGACGGCGGTTTGATCTCCAAGTGGGAGATTGTTGGAATGAGGTGTAGATCAAACCTCGATTCCGACGAGGAGCTCCGGCGAGCTCGAGGGATGGCGCAGGCGAGCGTGGACGTCGACTCAGGCGAAGTCGACAGCGAACTCCAGACGCAGTTCCAGGTGAAGCTTGAGCATGCGAGCTCGAATTTGGCGTTTCCGACCCTCGCGTTTGGGATACCGACCCACGCGTTTTGGAGCTCCGACGATCGCATCTTGGCGCTCCGACCCTCGCGTCAAGCTTGGGCGCTCGCGTGGCTGGCGACAGGCTGTCGCCAGCCGCAAACCAGATGCCCTAGCCTTTGTGCTTCTCTCTCCCGATCTCTCTCTGGCGACGGACAAAAAACGCAGCAGCGTTCCCATCTCCAGCTCTCAACTGTTCTTTTGAGGGGAGATTAAGAAAAGGATTTAAGAAGAGAGAGGAATTTAAAGGGGATTTATATTGTGGAATATTCTTTATTCTTAAAATAGAATTGAAAGAGATTATTCTCTTTAATTATTAACACTGTAGCTACAGTGTTCATTTTGAGAAATCTCAGTTTTAAGATCTGCTCTCGAATTGTAATTTCTTGTTTGATTAATAAGAAATTTACTGTGTGGCTCCCGAGGACGTAGGCAGTTGCCGAACCTCGTAAATTTTATGTAGTTTTCTCTATACCGCATTTATGCTGTTTTAGGGGTTTTGCGTAGCCCCAGCGGGTAGTATTCCCAACATGTAAAACCAAATTTTTTGGTCACCGTCATAAAAATACCTATATTTTTCCTCAAATATAAGAGGTGGATACCTTTTCCTCCTTTTTTTCCCATGCTTTTATTTTTTTTCCTTCACCTTTTTATATGAAATTTCTTCTGACTAAAGAAAAGGTTACCATGATCGGTTTAAGAGCATTCTAACCACTAAAAATGCCAGTTTCTCGGCCCTCCTCATATCATTTGCGCTTTCCGATATGTCAGTATACCACCGAGTAAGCCAATTTAGAAGTTGTATCTTTAGAATTCTCCACATTGTGGACAGGAAGTAATAGGAACATTCTTTAAGGATTAATTACATTCAGGTACCCCGGGCTGCCGGGCATGATGTATTAAGGTGGCGTTTGGTTGTTTGCAACTGGAGTTGCAATGCAAGTGTCACTTGCATGCAACTGAGACGTTGCAACTCTTCTTACATGCAACTACAATTGCAATTGTTTGGTTTAAAATTTAAATTTTACAACTTATAGTTGCAGCTGTTTGATTATGCTTATAACTTAACATATGCAACTCATAAAATATTTTTAAAAAGTAATATATTTTTAAAAAATAATATATTTAAAAAAATAATATATTTTAAAAATAATATATTTTAAAAAAATAATTTTTTTAAAAAATAATTTATTTTTAAAAAATAATTTATTTTAAAAAAATAATTATTTATATCATTTAAAAATATATTATTTTTAGAAAATTATATTACTTTAAAAATACATTAATCAAAAAAATATATTATTTTAAAAATATATTGTTCAAAAAATATATTATTTTAAATATATATTATTTTTAGAAAATTATATTATTTTAAATATATATTATTAAAAAATATATATTATTCAAATAATATATTATTCAAAAATATATTATTTTAAATATATTATTAAAAATATATATTATTTTAAAAATATTATTTTTTAGAAAAAATTATATTATTTTTAAAAAATATATTATTTAGAAAATTATATTATTAAAAATATATTATTTAGAAAAATTATATTATTTTAGAAATTATATATTATTTTAAAAAAATATATTATTTAAAAATATATTATTTTAGAAAATTATATTATTTTAAATATAATTATTCAAAAATATATTATACAAAAATATATTATTTTAGAAAAAATATATTATTCAAAAAATATATTATTTTAAAAATATATTATTTTTTAAAAAATATTATTTTAAAAAATAATATATTATTTTAAAGATAATATATTACTTTTAAAACTAACATATTATTTTGAAGAAATTATTATAATAATAATTATTTTAAAAGATTAATGTTGTTTTTTTAAAAAAAAATTTTTGAAGAAATTATTATAATAAGAATTATTTAAAAGATTATTTTAAACCTTTAATGAATTTATTTTTGAAATATTAAGTAATGATTTTGATTTTAATAAATTTAGGTTAGTTGCAACTATGACTTGCGGTCATTTTTGACGTAAGTCATATGTTGTAACTAAGGGTTGTTTTGCAACTGTGATTGTAACTGCAACTGTGAGTTGCAACAAAACAAACACATGCAACTGGTCAAATTAGACCTAGTTGCATGCAACTGGAGTTGCAACCACTCCAGTTGCAGCCTACCAAACAGCCCCTAAATGGGTGACCCTAGAGTCTGCATTACCCTCACTCCCTAAGATTACTGATTGAAAAATTCCAAGGACCCAAAATACGAGACTACCTTAATGATGCCAAACTCATTATGCGATAGGAGGACGACACATCAACTGTCTCCTCTGTTGGTCCTATATTTTGGGTCCCTATAGCAAAGCTCTTACTGATTATAATTACAAGAGTAACTCTGTATCCTTTCTTCAATTATGATCATTTATTAGGGAATCAAGTAGCCCCACAAAGTGAGGGATAAAAAGAGTTGGGTGGATTTAAAGGGAAGGGTGGGCAGAGAGATGAACCAAATTTCAGTTAACAATTTCTTTGCTAAATTTTGAGAGTCTAATAATACAACTATGAAGTTCTTGTTCCAGTGCCCGTGCTGCTCCTTTTTCTGCTTCATGAAGGCCAAGAAGAGCAAACCGAAGCAGAAGGAAGCCAAAGGGGGTTGAAAGGGAATCTATGGCTCACTGCAAATCTCTTACTTTGAATATTTTGTAGAAACAAATGCCATCTTTACCCATCTCATGATCTGTAGCCCCCTTATCTAAGTAAAATAATTGGTATGAAATGTTTTTTTTTTATTCCCCTTCTTTACTCATCCTTATCTTTGTCGGTAGACGAATTGTTTTGTGATATGCCCATCTCCTCCATCTGTTGTTCTACTGATACGAAGCCAGTTTGCTCGAGAAACCTGCCACCAAGAAAAATGAGGGATGAGTTCGCAAGTAAAAGCATCTTTGAACTTGAAAAGTTTTGATCACTGCATCATAGTTTCCGTGTTATAAAAGATCATCTGAATGGGGTTTTTTTTCCCTCCTCCTTTTCTTTTTCCTCTTATAGTAGACTGAAACAATTGCAGCAATACCACATCAGAATACCGATGAACGAAAATGATCACAGGTGAAATCTTGTGGGAATTTCTTTCAGAAATTAAAAAAAAAAACAGTGTGTACAAAATCATAGCTAGACTGAGATGGAGTTCTATACTTCTTGTAGCTCCAAAACAAATTATCCGAGCATGTGTATAAACCATATCCAAGGGGGAAAGGTAATATATGCTAGACCAAGATATATGCGAGTTTAGACGGCGGACGTGATCATAGACATCGCTTTCTAAAGGTTCCAGTGCAATCAATTCATATCTAGACAATTAAAGCAATCATCAAACGTACATATTATATATTAGAATTGCTCATACTTCCTTTCTAGTAAGTTATCGTAGAGGAAGATAATGACATCTGTTGCAGGTGTATTCTCTGTTTACCCATCAAGATTCTCTTTGTGATCACACGCAAAGGCTTGTGTTATTACTCGTTCGGTCTATGTTAGCAATGCATATTCATGAAGGATAATTCTGCACTCGCCTCGGAACAGGAATCATGCTGCTGATTATCAAAGGAAACAATTTTTGCAGTGAAAAGGCGATATAGAAAAGAACTTAGCAGCAAGGGAGAGAGATATAAATGTGCATGCGCTCCCAATTTTCAGGTTATAAAGGGCAAACAACTTCTGGCAAATGCACTTGTCAACATGCATAAGGCAAAGCCCCGGAAATAACAATAACTACTATAACATTGTATAACCTTGAGTTGCTCCAGCTTCTCCACATTAGAGGTAACTTTCTATTCATGCTAATCACCATGAGCATCGCCCTCTAGAGATCTCTTTTCAATGGGAAGGAAAGAGAAGAAAGCCAAGAACGAGAACAGGAAGAAACCTGATTCCAATGATCGCTTCAAGCCGAGCTACGACGTAAAAGGCATCCGCTTCGGCGGCCAGTTCGTCGTAAAATCCTTCACGGTCCGCCGCTCCTCCCCTCTCAAGCTCACGCACTTAATCCAGGGCGACGGCAACAGCCACTTCTCCTCCATGACTGCTTACATCCCCACGAGCTTCACCATCCTGGCTCACCACGCGTGGCACACCCTCACGCTAGGCCTGGGCACGAAGAACTCGAAGGTGCTGATCTTCGTGTAATCCGATGCAATGAAGGCTGCGGTGGATCGCACGTGGCCGTCGACGTTAACGCTGGGGGAGGTGAATAGGAAGCTGGTACGGGTCTGGATGGGTGTGAGATGGCGAGGTTTAAGTTCAGGAAAGGGTGCTTGACGTTCTATGTTTACGCGGCGAGGGCGGTAGGGGCGGCTGGGTTCGCGAAGGCGGAGGAGTTGAGGAGGGTTTTGGAGACCGTGGTGGACCTGAAGGACTTCTTGGATCACACGGCGATGCTCGCCATGCCGAGCCAGCGGAGCATCCAGTTCTCTAGTCCCGGCCACCATGGCATATTGATCGATCTCTTTTCTTTCGGAATCCCAAGCACATCATTAGTTTCAGACTTACTGGTCAGGGGAAAATGCCATATTTGTATTTGGTTGCAAATGTCAAATAGATTATCATCTTATCAACTAAGTAAGAACAAGTAGATAACTTGTCCCCCAACCTCTATATCCATTTGTTCATATGGAGAGCTAACGAACATTAACAGAATAATGTGGAATATGTAGCATGAATAGGAGATAAGAATTAAAATGAAGATGTAAAAAGCATGTGAAAAGTAAAATCAGAAAAGAAATGGAAGCTATATATTGGAAAAAAGGATGAACTTCAGGGTTATCACAATCAAGGGATATCTAATAGAAAGCAAGTTAAATCATCAGTTGATAGAATGGTTCGAGAAGGAGATTCGTGGATGGCAGGCTCAACGGAGAAATAACTTACAGATACTTAATATCATTCTTTTATTGGGGTTTCTCTAGTTTCCTGTATTTAAATTAGATTGCTGACTATGTCTTGGCAAATATCGCAAAGACAAAAAAAACTCGGTGGATTGTAGGTAAAAAGAGGTTCAGAGCTCGAAAAAACTCTGTAACTGGAAAAACGATCCTTCATATTCTAAGAATAAGCCAGGTCCTTGTAGCTGAGCTCTATGGTCAGAATTTAAGCTTCTCCATATGCAACATGATGAACTATTATGTGTTAAATACCAACAAGATGATAGCACCATTTTTCTTTTCAAAAGAAAGAAAGAAAGAAATTGCATCTTATGTTTTCCTAATTGGCAGGAAGACATAAGAATGGTTCTAGCTATCACATTCACAAATGCCTAAACCTAAACTTGGTACAAAAAATAGGCTTTTCGAGTTTGTCCAGAGAGTAAATAGTAAGAAGGAAAAATAATTACCCATTAAGAAGTATAAAAAGAACTGCACTTATTACGACAAGCAAAAGAACGTTGCCAACAATAACAAAGTCACTGGATATGAATGCTAGAGAAAGCATGGCGATAAGGCAGACACCAAGCATCAAAAAAGTAATCTTGAGAACAGACCATGTTGCACCCTGTAAAACAAGGTAATGCCAATAAGATTGCTTTATAGCAACAAATGACTTGATAAAATCTGAAAGGAGAAGACATCCAAATGATATAATAAAGAAAAACTGGAAAATTACATTAGAGCATTCAATATGAATTTGAAATCAATACGTACGTTTACACCGGAAGCTAAAGCTCCTAACAACACAGCTTCTGCAGATGATAATTCCTTTGAAGTAGATTTGTCCATTTTTCTGATGTGCAGTAGAATATTCAACCATAAGATACAACAGACGGGGAAAAAAAAATCACAGTGCTAGTAGATAAAACCAAACATGAAAAGCATGTGTTGCTCAAAAGAAGAAGAAAAAGCTGGTAATCAATTACGGTAAAATATAAACATCCAACAATATGGGTAAAAAAAACAGGGGGAGAAATGCTCTCATTATTTTCAGAGCAGGGAAACAGAGAACCTTGTTGGAAAATTTTCCATTCTTCTGATGCCACAACACTTACTTTTTTTGTTATGTCGCTCCTCTAACATCTAATTATTCCAGAGTAATCAGGATGCTAAAACTCTATGCTGAACCATATTGGTCCAGGATCACAGATTATAGAGAATCAATTATTTGTAACTTTCAAAATTCAAACTAATTAAGCTCCTTACGAAACTAGAATTTTTTTTTGTTTCTGAATTTTTCAAATGAAGAAACGAGAACAGAAGTATGAAATAATGTTATGAACCCATCTTCTCTTTCCTTCCATGGGTTGCGAGTAACTGACCTAAACTTTATTAATTTGTACTTTCCGTGAATATATTCAAATTCAAAGTTCCCCTCTCCCTCTCCCTCTCCCTCCCTCCCTCTGACACCCTCAGTTATCCCCCCCCCCCCCACACACACACACACACACACACTTTTCAGCCAAGTTTTCAGAACACCAGGAAGGAGTATTACAAGCTAAAACAAATGTCAGAGGAGGGTTTCAGGGTTTGCTCTATAGAACATGAAATACCCCGAAGCAATCCTTCAAGCATTTCCCCCTATTTTAAGCATTTCCAACTCCCTCAAGACGTGGACACACACTACCCAAAGAAGAGGGGAAAATACAGGACTCTCTCTCTCTCTCTTATCAATTTTTTCCCCACACTTTTCAGCCAATTTTTCAGAACACAAGGAGTACAAGAGCTAAAACAAATGCCAGAGGAGGGCTTCAGGGTTTGCTCTATACAATCAAAGTTTTAAATGTCGGATGTCATGTTCATGTCAGACGGTTAAAATTCATGTCGGATAGCGAAAATCGGGGATATATCAGGGGACATGAAAAAAAATATCGGATTGCCATATCGGATGGTGTGTATATGTGTAATATAAATATTATAATTGAAATCTAAATACACTTAATAAATTTTATTGTCTAAACATATAAAAAAATAAATAACTTATGATGTTTAGGTTGATGGTGAAGGAAAGAGGTGAGAAAAGAGGAGTTCAATGTTGGCGGTTAAGGAGACAGAAGATCGCCTGATATTGATATCGAAGGAATAGCTCAGAGAAGAGACCGATGAGATATTGAAGGAGAGAGAAGATGAGTGACGCAAATGACTTTGATTTTTTTCCATTTCCCCTAATTGATTGGGTTTTGTCTTTAGAAATAATATTAAGACAATCAAGAATTTAAGCCCAAACATGATTGGATAAACATAATTAAAAAAATCAGCCAAATTTTTAGATTGAAAAATCGACCAGCACAACCAACATGTCCCCCGATATATCCGCCCCACATATCCGACATATCCCCCGATATATCTGCATGAATCCTGAAATCACAATACGCACTGGAAAGCTCAATATCGTGTTGGTTGGCCCCTAAGTCTGACATGTCGGGCAACATTTAAAACACTATATACAACATCAAATACCCCGGAAGAAATCATTCAGGCATTTCCCCATAATTTAACCATTTCGAACTCCCTCAAGACATGGACACACCCTAGCAAAAGAGAAGGGGAAAAAATACAGTATTTGCTGTGGAAAATCCCATTGACACCTCTAACTACACGCAATTTCACAATTTTGATATAAAAAATTCACCTTCCAAGTTAAAAACTTTGACATATTTATCAACACCGACTTTCTATTGTACTGCATATAGATGCAACCAGCATGATAACCACGACTTTTTTCTTTTGGGGTACCCATTACCTTCACTACGCAAATCGCTCCCCCCCCCCCCCCCCCCCCCCTCCCCCCCCCGAAAGAAAACCAATAACGTCGAATTGGGTTCATTTGATAGTATCACCGAACTCATCTCAAATTCTCTGCTAAGGGAAACTCTAGGGTTTAGATGATGATTATTCAAGTTCGAAAAATCTAATCCATTAAAATTGAACCCAGAAATAATATTAAAAAAATTTGGAAAAGGGAAGCGAGAAGAATTAGGGAAGTTAGTACCTCGAAAAAAATTAATAGCGCCGGCAGAGATGAAGATTTTTACGAAGATCTGAGACGAGAATCGAGAGCTTTAATAAAGACTCGATCTTCGCGAAGTAACGAAGGTAGATTTCACGAAAAAAACCCATTAAGTTTGGGTGTTTCTCAGAAAACTCCTCAACTTTTAAAATGTGACAGAACCCCTTAAGTTTTGGGGTTCTCAGAAAACCCATTAAAACTTCCAACTTTTTTCAAAAAAAATAATTGTGAAGAATGGCCAGCCATAATGTCATTGGCTAGCTGAAGATATTGAAGTGCAAAGAAATTTTCAAAACAGACTCAAATTAAGTTTTAATTTTTAAAATCGACTCTTTTTTTTACAAAAATCGACCCACTTTTTATCATGTCAGCTTAATCTCATTTCCTAATTAGTCGGGGTTGTCAACCCCGACTGTTTAGTAATGAGATAAAGCTAATGTGGCAAAAAATGGGTCGGTTCTTGTAAAAAAAATGAGTCGATTTTGAAAATTAAAACTTGTGTTGAGTCTGTTTTGAATTTATTTTCATTGAAGTGCAAAATAGGGGAATTAATATGTTAAAATTTCCTATCCAAAACAAACCTCCTTAAAATCACAAAACCGAATGTTCAGATTCGAAACCTCAATTTCTACCAATATGATACAAGTTTTGGGGTGAGCTCTGCTTGGTGCAAACTGATTTAACCGATTAAGCCAACCAAATTTCGCGGCTCGATCCAGTTTTAAAATATTTGTGTTCCGGTTCAATTTTATAATATTTGAAACTAAAATAACTAAACCAATTGCTCTAAACGTAACTGTCTAAAACTAACGATGTTGTTGTGCGCAGCGGAAATTTCGGCAGCACTTCGGCAGCACAACAAGAGAGATTAGATCGATAAGAATTCCCGTCTCACCAAGGAAACAAGAATCTGAAGCGGATATCTCAACCAAGTGAGATATCGGCTCTTCCTCTCATCAGTTCTAGGACTGACCTGTCGAGGGATCCTACAAGCTGTTACAAATCACGACAAGAACACAACTTTTACGTGGTTCGGCAAATAGCCTACGTTCACGGGGCAAGGAGGGGGGAGATCTACTAATAGAGGGAGAGATACAACTAGGGTTTACAATCTCACAATCTAAACCCTCTCAAACAAACTCTCAAATCCCTCTTACAAATATTCTCTCAAAGGAACAGAAAGACTCCTGCAGCCGCCCAATGTTTCCTTTGCAACCGCACACCCAAGACCAAAGCTCCTTGCACTTTTCGTCTGCTGCAGCCGCCTAAAGGAAAATCTCCAGCCTTGTACTTGCTCGTGTTTTTCTCCTTCAACCGCAAAACACCCCAGCCCTTGCTCACTCTTCTTCACGAAACCCTAGAGGGTTTTATAAGCCTGATTAAGAAGTCGGGTGGGCCGCATTTGTTTCCTCACACGGAAATTAATTTCCGCTTCGGTGAAACGCGGAAACAAAAGTTCACACACGTGGGTGGACCCCACGTGTTCACAATTCTCCAACTCGGTGAAGTTTTCCCAAAACTGAACCGACACCGATCAAACCAAATGTCCCACTTGTTGCGTCCAGTACGTCATGGCAACGGACTCATGACAACGGACTCCATCCACAACAAGTCGAGAACCCGAACGAGAGTCCAAACAATCTCACCCCCATCAAAATCAACTAATCCAAACCGGCTGCATCATAAAGACTGCCTACGTATCCTCTTGCCCAAGGAATCAAGCCGAACGTAGTTCACACAAATGGCCTCCAAAGGCCTCAACACCGAAAAATGTTCAAAAGCTCCAAACAATGACCAAACTTTACTCCTGAAATAACTTTGGTCAACATATCCGCAGGGTTGTCCTTCGTGTGGATCTTCTCCAATATGACGTCTCCTTCATCCAAAACGTCACGAACAAAATGGAATCTGACATCGATGTGCTTCGTGCGTGCATGATAAACTTGGTTCTTCGCCAAATAGATAGCTGACATGCTATCACAATATACCCGAAGGGTCTCCTGTGCGATCCCCAAGTTCTCCAATAATCCCTACAACCACAAAGCCTCCTTTACAGCTTCAGTCAATGCCATATACTCTGCCTCTGTAGTGGAGAGAGCCACTGTAGACTGAAGTGCGCATCTCCAACATACCGGTGCTCCTGCTAGTGTAAACACATATCCGCTAGTAGACCGGCGCTTGTCCAGATCCCCCGCATAATCAGAATCCACGTAACCAATACAATCCTGCCCGTTCTTCTCATTCTTCTGAAATACCAAACCAACATCCACGGTACCTTTGATATACCGTAGAATCCACTTCACGGCCTCCCAATGACCCTTCCCGGGGTCGTGCATGTACCTAGATACCATGCTCACGGCCTGTGACAAATCTGGCCTTGTACACACCATCGCATACATCAAGCTACTCACAGCATTGGCATATGGAACTTTGGACATGTATTCACGGTCCTCAACTGAAACAGGTGACATCTTAGCGGAACTTTGGACATGTATTCACGGTCCTCAACTGAAACAGGTGACATCTTAGCTGATAGCTTAAAGTGGAAAGCCAATGGAGTACTCACCGCCTTGGCATTGTCATCATAACTGAATTTCTTCAGCATCTTCTGCAAGTAACTCCTATGTGTCAACTTCAACCTCCCCTTCACCCTGTCTCTCTCGATCTCCATACCCAATATCTTATTTGCTTCTCCAAGATCCTTCATCTCAAATTCGGATGACAGCTCCTTTTTTAACTTTCTAATAGCTGAAGTGTTCCTGGAAGCTATGAGCATATCGTCAACATAGCATTCTGTAGCTTGTGCATGTAAACACACGGGTCATATGGGCTCCTCGTGTACCCTCGGCCAATCATAAAGCTGTCGAATCTCTTGTACCATTGTCGCGGCGATTGCTTCAATCCGTAAAGAGACTTCTTCAGCTTGCATACCAATTCTTCCTTTCCTGCAGCTTTGAACCCCATAGGTTGTGTCATGTAGATCTCCTCTTCTAAATCTCCATGTAGAAAGGTTGTTTTCACATCCATCTGGACCAAATCCAAATCCAGTTGTGCCACCAATGCCAATAAAATACGAATCGACAAATGCTTCACAATAGGTGAAAATACCTCATTGTAATCAACGTCCTCTAGCTGTGCATATCCCTTGGCAACCAATCTGGCTTTGAATCTAATTTCCCCAATAGAAGATCCCCCTTTCTTTGCATACACCCACTTGCATCCAATAGCCTTCTTACCTTTCGGTAGCTTTGCAAGTTCCCAAGTGTCGTTCTTATGAAGAGACCGCATCTCCTCCTCCATGGCTTCCCTCCACCTATTCGAATCAGAGCTTGACTCTGCTTCCTTGAATGTAAAAGGAACCAAATCATCAACGACTTCTGCTGATAAAGCATATGCAACCATGACATCGTTATATCTAGCTGGCCGACGAATGTTTCTTCTTGGTCTATTAGCTGCAATGGACTCCTGAACATGACCCTGTTCCTGAGTCCCAACATCCACTGTATCCTCTAAATGCCCGTCTGTCATCTCATCTCCTCCCAGTGTCACGCCCCAGGACCGTCAAACGGCCACTCGCAGTGCGCACAGCGCGAAGGACTGGATAGGTGTCGAGTCAACCTGAGCATTCATAAATGCGACTCACCTCAGCTGTCTGAGTCAAGAGCTGGATCCGCCGGCACTCGGCAGGTTGGCTAGACTCACTCGAGTACTGTGCACCTACTTCGCCACCTCTCCTGACCGGAAAGGAGAAAGCACCGTGCTCAAAGCACGTCGGGCGGTCACGCACAGTACGAGCGATCGGACAGACACCTCATCAATCTGCGAACTCATAAATACGGTTCATTAATGCTGGTCAAGTCCACTTGGATAGCAGACGGCTGTTGCCTCATATACAAGGATGGGCCTTCCCATTTTAGGTGACGGGACATAAAGCACAATCCCTCGAATGACCATTCATGGTATCGAGGAGCAACTAGACGTCTCTGAAGAAGATATGGTCACATCCCATAATTCAAGGATGAGTCAAGATGTCATTCTTCCATTTAAAAGCCTCTTCCAGCACACTGGAGGAGAGGTCGCAAAACTTGGAGAAAAAGAGTTGAGACCAAGCTCTCTGCATAATCTTTGCATTGCAGCACCACTGTCTAGTTCCGAGCTCCGATCGCCGGCGAACTAAGCAGACCCAAACTCCATCGATTCGAGCTTCTACTGCGAACTGAAGCTCTCCAGCAACCTCGATCGAACGGTCCAAGGGAAGCAGACTCGACACGAGCATCGAGCGAAGCGTCCTATAGCCACCTAAAGTCCCCACACAAAACAAAGAGGGCATTCCCTCTGCTTCTGTTGTAACCATTTGATTTTTAGTTTGTAATAAGCTTTCTTATTAATACAAACGAACACTCCCTGTTTTCGGGAAATCAAATTTACACCATACAGAAGATGGCGACCACAGTGGGAGAAATTGTTTCATCGAACAAAATGGTGGTGGCTCAATTTGATGAGGTTGCTGTCGGGACGACCGTGGAGTCCCTAGAAATTGAGTTCGACCAGGCCAAGTACGAAGAGTACTTGTCCTCCTCCTCCTTTGGCGGCGATGCGTCCCGCAGACGCCACAGAGTCGTGCGCCGAGGCCGACCTCAGACGGTCAAAGCCTTTGCACCTACGGGTTCCCCCCGAGCCTCATCGGAGGAGCCCACTCCCTCGCAATCGATCAAGGCCAAGCCAGAGATCGAGCGCAAGAGGCAAGGGTCTGCCAAATGGATCGCCAAGCGGTCCACGCAGACACCTGCCTCGGAGGAAACGCCGGTTCACTCCGGCACAAGCTGTACTGCCACAGCCCGCGGTGACGCTCTCCTCGCCGGGAGAGCTAGCCAGCAGCAGCGGCGAATGCTCGTCAAACAGGAGGTCCAAACCCCTGAGGTGCGGGTTCGCCTTGCATGGGCGAGTTTTCCCGGTAAGCCCGACTCCAGTAAACGTTGCGGGTTTTCCCCTTCGTTTTCGGCAAGGGCGGGTTGCCGAAAGCAATCGCCTAAAACCTCCCTCTCCTTTAAAGTTATCCGCGCAAAGTGATTATGGCGAAGGGCTC